CTTTGTCTCAGACAAGTCAGAACAATTGAAGTAAATGTTCAAGAGGGAATCTGAAACTGAAGCAGAAACATGTACTGACTTGGTACCAATATTATCATATTTTGGATCACTCTGTCCACCTCAGTCTGAAAGACATTACATCATGTTTTCAGTCTGTCTGCATATCTAAAGTCTTCTCAAGAGTTGAGGAGCACAGAAGCTAATGCTATGTCCTCTTTTCCAGTTGAACTGAAACTGATTCTTGAGTGAATAAGTTAATAAATTATTAGAGCTTTAGATTAAATGAAAGATTACTTTAAGGTACAGATTGCTTGATGATTGCATCGTTTTGTGGTTTGAAAATAAAAACAACTGAAACATGTAAGACTCTGAGGAGACAAATGCCAAAATGAACTCCCATCTGTAAACACACACACAGTAATTCAGCAAATGAGTTGGTCGTGTCTCCATAGCATGGATCCAAAATACTTCTAACATGTTATTGTAGTTCTTTCTTTTTATGAAATCTCTAACATCCAAATACCAGCTCTACAAAAAGACTGTTTCTTATATTAATATTTATCGCACACATAACATCATCTATTATTTCTACAGCAGCAACAGTTTCAGCAAATAGATCAAATCAACTACAGATGAAAGAATTTCCTTGGAGACCAAATAAAAAACGTTCTGAGTAACAAAGCTTCTGCTGCAGGTCAGCGCTGAACAGCAGCAGGCCGGCTAAAGGCCTGAGGAGAAACACTTCGACATTCGTGGAAAAAGCCCCAAGCTTTGTTAGCTGCAGTTTTGCATTTTTATTCAAACTTGTTTTAGATTTATAACAGTTTGTGCTTTTAATAATTTTTGAATTCTTTTTCTTGTTTTGTCTCAGAAAATATGAGTCTTTGACAGCATTTCAAAAAAAAAAAGTCTCCGTGTGTAGAAAATCAGATTAGACATTTTTCTGGTGTCAGTAAATACCGACTTTCCTTCTGGTCCAGCCTGAATTATTACTCCAACTTGGTTCTTCCACCAAAGCAAAGAGAGAGAAAGAGGAGAAATAAAAAACAGGACAGTTGGTCATTTATGCAGGCATTTCTTTTTCACTTGTACATTGCTTGTTTTTTATGCAACATCCTAATATTTCTTCCTTTTTTCACTCTGGTGTTCAAGCCGCATTCATTTTTAGCTTGTCGTCTTGCTGCAGAACATCTGTTTGTATATCTGTATGTTACAGCAACATTTAATTTCCCTTTGGGACAAATACAGTATTTTTGAATTTGAATTTAACCACATCAAATGCAGCAATTTAATTCAATAGCAGTCAGGATCTGACGCCGTTAGCCTGTATGTGTCCTTCATTCTTTCTCCTTTTGTTTCCTTCTTTTCAGTATTGCTCTGGATGTTTTCAGAGTCTTGTTGGCGTCAGCTCTCCTGCCCCACCCAGCAGTTCATCTCTCCTCGTTGCCCCGTGCTTTTATTTAATAGTCTAATCCAGTTGAGTCTCAGATACGCCCCGTGCTTTATTGGGACATGCACTTAGGGGAATGACTTTCTCCGACCACTTTGGCACACTGCATCAACCCAACCCCCAAACTCCACACACCACTAGCGCTCCATCTGTCACACACAAGCTGCTGCGAAAATGCTATTCAAGAGCGGCCATGTTTCAAATACCTACCATTCCCATCCGTCCATTGAAAATGGAGAGCCTCCCTATTTTGCAGAGATGTTTTCTACTCTCTTTAAAAACCTTAGTAACCTTAGTAAACTTTTGCTGAGTCACAACAATCATCTTTTCTGTTACTTACAAGAAAGAGTTTGTGATGGACAAAAAAAGCCCTTGTCTCCATCAGAACCTGAGTTAGAAACACCAAATGCTTCGAAGTTGGTGTTTCTAATTCCAACTTAACTCAAAAATTGGCGTTAGGCAATAAGAGTCAAACAAGATGGCGAGAAAGTTCTTACAAATGAAACTCAGAACATAATTTAAATTGTTATGCTCATAAACAATTCAGCAATATTTTTCAGTTGTTTCTTATCCATACAATAAAATCATAAAACAAGAAAATGTGACAGTGAAACAGTAGCGTTTTGGTGCCATTTATTGAGATCCGCAAACAAACTGACGAACCAGTTCCTGAATCATTCACCTTGTACCGTTCCACTTCCGAGGCTTCAAACGTCACAGCCTTCATCAACACAAGCTTTGAAAATTCTCCTGGGTCACTCGACACGCGCTCCGAAGCCTTGACACCAAACACACATCACTACCTCTGGTGTCTTTTACGGAACTTCTGAATCTGCAGTCCATCTCTCCATCATCCTGGTTCAAGAATTTGACATGAATGTTCTCAATGAACCCTTTAAATCTTATTATTGTCCTGAGAACATTTGTTCTCCGGAGAACAAAGGTTCAGACATCTTAACAAAACCACGACACATTCAAATGGATCAATGTCTAACTCTTGAGTAAACGTGCATGATGTGACTTATTGCACATTATCTAAATTCTAGAAACTGTTTTCCAGATGATAAGTCACACTTCTCCTTTTTTATAGTTTTTCTGTTCCTGCATCTTGCAGTCAGGTGTGTCTTCAGTCTTGTTTTCCTCTTCATGATTAATGCATTAAATGTTAATTCATACCCTTCATACCCTTGTACTTGCCTGAGAGATTAATATTAAAAAAAACTGTGCAGTCAGTTTTTTTCTTGGTCTTACCACTTCATGCAACACAAGCAGCATAACCATCCCTCCATCATAGCGTCGGCGCACAGACATAGCTGGGTTCAAAACTACCAGCACCATTCCAGTCGAACGTCAAAAGTTTCTGAGTTTGTTGGAAAGCAGGGAACTGAACACAACGTGTCACCGGATCACATCAATGTGTCTGGTAAAAGTTCATGGGCTATTTCTCCTAGCACTAGACTCACATTAGTTTGTGTTGTATTTACCCAGAATGCCCTGCACTGTAATCCACCTCCTGCTATTGGAGTGGTCTCCAGTCAGTTTGGCATTCACATCTCAATTTGAACTGCACTAGAGTTTCTTTCAACGACCCACGACCCGGGTTTGTAGGCAGACCAGAGTTTGATGGCACACATTCACACTTCTCCAAACAAAGGAGAGTTTAGTTAAAGTAGATTACTAAAATACGACACCTGCTGCATATTGTTATATGTTCAAGGAAAGGATGAGCACACATGCTTACTCTAACAGGTAATATCTGCAGAGTCCCAGCTCTGCAGTGTTTGTGGGAAAACAGTTTACTTGGAAAGAAGGATTTTGTGATCCTTTGATCTTCCTGTTTGCCAGCTTTGTTTAGCTGCTCTGGTGTAATCTGTTGGTCCCTTGAGGACAGTTTGGCCTGAAATGACCTCAGCCTTACTCCTCTCTGCCCCCCCCCACCTCTCTCACAGCAATTCATTATCTGACCTAGCCAAGCGCTCACATGTACCCTGATTCATTTTTCTGCCGTCTCTTGGCTGCACCTCGCTCACACCTTCGCCCTACCAACTCTCGGTTGCCTGGAAATGTTGATTGTCCTTCCCAGTTTGTGCCTGCAGGCAGCTCATGCAGGTTCCCACACAAACATGCACACCGGCAGGCTCCGTCTTTGTCTTTTTATAGCTCAGTCTTGTTAAGCACAGGAAGCAGATCTCTCCCTGGTGAACAGTGAACATCTCCTGCAGCCCAAACAGTTTGTGTTATATAACCAAAGACTTTTCTAAAGCTGTCTTAGGAAAGTATTTGGGTTAGTTGAAGCCTGTCTTCCTGCAGCTGTACTTTGGATGAATTATGTTGATTTGATATTTTGCGTTTTCTCTGACAGCATTTACTTTACACAAGCCCAGAAGAACAAGGCACATTGTGTCATTTTGTCTGATGGCAGTCTGTGTATTCTTCTTGAAGCTGGGTACCACAAACACAGAGCGTTAGCACATTTGACATTCCTGCATGCCAGGAGGCCCATCATGATTCTCTAAAAGTAATTTTTCAAATCGGAGGTTAGTCAAGATGTTTCCTTGATTGCCAACATGACCCGAATGTATTCAGAGGAACCAGTGTCAAGTTGGAGCACACTTTCAGCCTCAGACGTTTTGTGTTAACCACAAGGTGTTTCGGTTTTGTGTCTGTTCTGTTGCTGAAGCAGGACATAGGATCCGTCAGTTGCTACCACAAATACATGCTGCAAACGGACCTGAGATCACCAGTGGAAACAGAAATATGCGCCGGAGTATCATCTGCATATGGATGCAGAAGATAAGACGGGTGAAGAGAAAGGAACAAACTGAAATATGTGCAGGCTTTAAATGGAATTTAGAAAGACATAGCTAAAGGGGAGGAAAGGTTTTTGTACACATAAATAAGGAGAGAAGCAGAAGTTCTGATTCAGTAAAGATCGATAATAAATCAGGATGATTTAAAAAGAAAAATAAACATTATGTGTAATAATGCAGGTGAAAACTGCCTCTGCTTCTCCACACCAGGACCTGCTGGAGCTACGCTGTGTGATTGGTCAGAGGTTTGTTGCTGTATTGTACGCAGTAATGTGTTCAGACAGCAATATTGATATAATCCTTCAACTCCTTCCACTATCTGATGTTTGTATCTGCAGGAGGCATGAATAACTTTGGGGAGCCCCAAAGGTAAGATAAGATCATTTTATTTATGTAGCACATTCAAAGTGTTTTACATGAATTAGAAGGAAATACAGACAAAACAACGAAACCAAAAGAAAGACAAAAAGGTATCATTGCATCATTAGTCCTTAGTATTTATATCTATGTGAAGATATGTCTGAAGAAATCCACTCATAATAATAACTGAACATCACAACCCCACTAAAATACACACATTTCCTGTTTGGACAGACTCATGTGGGATGGTCAGTCGCTCTGCTTCTCTCCAAATTTCCCTGCAAGGCCATGAAGACGCGACACAAAGACGGTCGCATGAGACAGAACACAAAACTGCTGCCATTGTTTCAAGAGTTAATCAAGTGGCTTCAGCGTCTCACCTCCTCCTTCTTCCCACATCGATCCGCCTCTCCACCGCTCCACTCTGCTCTGCTGGGCTCTGCATTGCCTGGCTCTGACAGAAAAGCCCTTTCACCTACTTTCACTGAGAGCTCCTCACACACCTACACCCCCCATACACACACACACACACCCACACACGCACACGCACACACGCACACCGACACACACACACATATAGCATGCCTGCTAAGTCTTGTCAAGCAGAGAGCAGCAGTGCTCTGCAGTCTGCCATGGTTCCTTACAGCGGGAAAATGTTTGCTATCTGTCTCCCTTCTCTCCTTCAGCCGTGGCTCAAAGAAACAGATTCAGGTTCAGAAAACGCGCTGAGTTTGCTGAACTCTCCAAGGTTAAAAAATCTCAATGCTACATTTTTTTGCATTCATATTTAGCTGAAGGGTCTTGCTAATCATGTTAGTTCAGAACAAGAATCAAGCAGTCAGATAGTTCTGCTTGCAAACATGAATTAAAATCAGGTGAGAGAGAATATTTTATTTAGAATTATGTCAAATCTATGCTTTTAAAGATTTACATCATGTTGTGTTATTCCCTCACTGAAAACATACCTGGAGTGTTTTCATACACATTTGAGAGAACTTTTAATTTCCCGTGCCAGCCATTGGATCGAGCCCTGCCTCCTGCTCAGAGCTGCAGTTTCCAAGTTTCTGAACTTTTTGCTGTTTGTTCAAACATCACTGGATCAAAGTGCTTCATATGAATCCATAAGTATTACACAAATATAAAGACATCAGCCAGGAAGTTAAAACTCCTGGCTGAGTTCCCACTGGCTTCCTGTCCAACCCAAAACAATGAAAGTTCAAATTTAATGCTACAAAATATGTAGGAAATAAATGTAAACTTTGAAGAGATAAGTATTTGACATCTTGTCTAAGATCACATTGTGGTGGCATTTAGGAAATAGAAATAATTTTGGTCATTCTAACAAAATTAAAACAAGAGGATGTTGATCTGCTTTAACTTCAGAAATAGAGGAGAAAAGGTGTTTGTTTCTTTTTATTGTATGTAAACGTCTGGTTTCAACTGTACATTTAATCAAATTGAGCAGTGATACGCCAGGGCAGATAGATAATCATTTCCTCAATGTGGTGGATCACTTCCTCAAACACAGAGTGTTTGTGGCACATGATCGTATGAAGGTTGGTAAAGAATTACTCATTCAAACTTTTGTTTACATCCCAGATTAATATTTCAAAATAAAGCCACGATGAGAATGTCAGTGAAGGCATTGTCTAACTCAAGACTGCCAGCATTCATTAAGCACAAAATCCACACAGAAGCTCACATAAGCTCGAAGTAAACAGCACAACAAGTTTTCAGTAAAAAAAAAAGCAGTGCAAAATTGTTGAAATATGTTAAAACATTAGAACTTCTAATTAATATGATCTACAGTATTACTAAAGCATAAACTGAAACACATGAATGAGAGCATTAACATTGCTCATAAACTGACATCTTCCATACATTTATAACTGTTGGCTTTACTTTCTGAACATAGAGCATGATCAGCTGGGGAAGCTTGAAGCTCTTTTTCTCCTCTGGCCTCCAATGCAGTGTGTAGCGGTGATGAAGAGAGCATGAGGTCTGGCTGGGGCTCTTGCTTGACAGACGCATGTGAAGGTGAGGAACTGAGCAAATGCAACCTGAGTTCTTGTTAAATAATCAGTGGGTTAAAACAGGAAGAAACAGAATCAAAGGTAATTCTTCAAATGGCAGCTATGGGTTCCTCTCCAAGAACTATAAAATAACACAGGACCAAGGAATGCAAAAAACAATAGTTTTTTTTTTTTTGTACCACAAAAATCTTAACATGTTTGAGAAGGAGTAGGAAACTTATGAACTCCTACCCCATAAACTCATTCAGATGGACCCTCATTATTCAATCAGACAAAAAAAAAACATGTTAATTAATTTTCCCTTTTATCTGATTTTACATGTTTAAATATAGTATAAACATCCATACATCTGTATCTGCACAAACTCATATGCGTTAGCCTCAATTTACATACACACATTAGTGTTATCTCTCACCCATATCACTATATCTTGTGAAAATGACCTCCTTGTATTTCCTTTTAAGTTGTATTAAATTAGGACTTTGTTTTAACTCCTCATTGTTCCATAATTGAAATACAAAAGCTCTTTCTTGTTGTGCCTACACTACGAATTGATTAGCCCCTTACGTTATATCCTCCTTACAGCCCCCTTCAAATATCATATTCTGTTTGTGATCACACAGAGATCATAAATAACACTGTAGTCAGAAGTCCCATTTCATACTGCTATCATTTAAATTTGAAATTGCTTTAAGGACTGGGTTTGTACTGGATTTGATCTAAGTTCACTTGTTTTAAGCGATACAGCTCCAGCCTGGATAAGATTAGTGGAAATGGTTTGGCTAGCGGGCAAAATGAAACTTCCCCATTAGACCTTTTGATTCAGACACTCTGCTGTGATGATTTAGATTGTGTGTGCTCGCTTTTTCATCAGTGTGTATCTAACACAGCACATAAATTGCTGATTTTATTGCCATTTTTACTCAACAGATGTGACCAGTTGTGATAAGTCTCTGTTCTGCTGACAGTTGCTTCCTGCTTCCTTCCCGTCTAACATCCAGGGTGCTCCATGAGAAACCGCAGTGGGATTAGGCAACGCTAAAGCATGTCAAAAAGTTCTCACACTGTGCCAACAGGCCAGTGTTAAACATTCAAACAATCATTTCAAAGTCAAACATTTTAAAAGCGGGTTTTTCATGTTGAATTGCTGAGGTTTGTGGAACTTGCTCCGTCTCTCGCTGCTCTTCATTCAAACACCGGAGACACAAAGGAAGGAACTGGATGTTCAGTGTTTGTACTTAGCACATTTTCTATCTTTATAACATCATTCCTCATTCACAGTAAAAGTTGATAGTGTTGCCAAGGAAACTCAGGAAGTCTGTCATTGGTTCAGCTGTATCCAGGCAGCAAACTTCACCAATGACAAACTCAAAACCCAAAGCAACATAACAATACTCTCTCTCTCTCTTACACAAATACTTGGCCTGTGCTTGGGGGCTGCAGCATATTGAAATATCACACAGTGTTCACAATTTGTTCTTGTTATTATCACAGATTTTTCAGTAGGTCTTTTACATCAACAGAACACCTGTTATTCTCATGATATATTGTTGAGGCCCGTTCTGCACAATTATCATGTAAAAATAACAGGATAGAAAAAGAACACATTTCGTTTGCAGAATCTTATCTAAATGCTGCATTTCAAAGGGAAGACCCGGGTTACCTGATGCAGGGATTCACTTACATGTTTGACCCAGAATATGACTAATGATCCAGGAGCCATGAGGATCAAACAGTCCATCCATCCATCTGTTGTCTCGTCCTGCTTATCCACGCAGGCCTGCAGAGGACAGCTGGTTTCCATCTCTATGCTGAAACTGAATAGGATGATTGTCTTCAGAACATAAGCCTGACATATAAACCCACTGTTGTACACAAAAGCACACAAAAAAGTGCAGAAACATAGTAGAGGACCTTACTGTGTGTTTTATCCAGAATTGAACCTGTTCTGACTTTGCTACAAGACACTGGAAGCCATAATGCTCACTGAGGGCTAATGCTGAGTCATGTGGACCCATCAGACTGTTTCATTGTCCATCCTGATTGCAAAACAATCCACCACCATCAGTGGTGGATTGTTTTGCATTTGTTTTTCAGATCACAGTCTGACTTTTAGTTGCTAACTGAAAATAAAATCCAGCCAGCATTTGTGTAGTTTTTGATATCAGATTATTCAGAACCCTGTAACCTATTCAGAACCCTACAGTCTAATGGTGCTATAGCTACAGCTCTGTGCTTTTTCTGCAGCCATACAGAACAAAAGTAAAAGTCTTGAATGTCACAGATAAAAAAATAAATACACATATGAAATCACAAAAACATCTATGGTAAGCAATAGCATTAGCCACACTAACCAGTCCTCCATTCTGTGGTGTATTACAAATTTCATATTTAAGAATTTAGAATGAGTTCCAAAGAGACTCATATGTAAGATTGAAGGTACAATAAGTCAGGTTTATTTTACATAATACGTTTTGAAACAAGACGATTCAAAGGGCTCTGTGTGACAAAAACATCGAACACTTATGAAATATGGAATAAACAAAAATCATCAAGAGTAATTTGATAATTACTAGTACATTGTACATTATGGATTAATCGTCAAGGAAACATATATAGGAAACACAAACTCTTACTTGCCCAATGTTTAAGGAACTCTGAATAGCAATTTGTTTTTATAAATGGATAACTTGAGAAAGTATTCATTTGATCAATTTTCAAGTGGACAGAGATTATGTCATGATAAGTGCTGGCATTCTTTGCAAAAACTGCCCACAGTGATTTCTATATTGTCACTGGTCGATGGTCGACCTTCATCCTGTGCCAACAAGGATGTCTGAGTGGAGCACAGAAAAAAGAGATAAAAACAGAAATATTAATCTGACAAGAGGCTGACATCATTCTTTTGAAACACTTTTTCAGAGATGGAACTGAGCCATCAAACTTCTCGACTTCTCAAAGTTACGAGGGGATTGAGACCAAGAACGTTAGCCTTGCAAACAGCAGAGCGGCTCTCTGCCAGAAGCTGGGCCTGTGCCCAAAACTGGTGCCTGGAAAGAGGTCAAGATCAACTTTCACTGCCACAGCGACGTCTGCAGAGGACAAATACAGTACTGGGTCTGCTCACTGCTTGCTGAGAGGCTGACAGAAGGTTGGAGAGCTGCCAAAACAAGAATGCTCATTTTAACATCAGAAACTTACCACTTACCACTTCAAACACCAGCTCGGAACTGGTGTGTACACCCAAGTTCTCAATTTCTGTTTTGGTTAGTAATAGTAAAGCCTGCCATGACACATGATTTATTCCACTATATTGTAAAAAGCATTTCCCCTTACATTGGAGCAAACATAAAACAGTAGAAAAGTCTGGATGCTTACCAGTTTTTTTCGACATGCTAGGCTACATGAAGGAGGGATATCCTCTTAGTGGTTACTAATACACAGAGACTTTCTCCATAATGGAATGAATATTTAACTGCATTTTATTAAGA